ATAAGTCCCTCCTAAGTTACGGGGCGACGTAGGTATGGCCATGGGAGATGCGTTCTTATTGGCCACATCCTATAGACCACGCCAAGTTGACGAAGCGGGACCGGGCCGTGGTGAAGACAAAGGCTGGGGATCTCACGGATGAGGAGAAGGTCACCTCAGCGATGATCGAGCTGGCCACCGAGATGCAAGGCGCGAGATGATCATGATGGCCCTAGGACAAAGGTGAAGATGTCGAGCATTTGGATGCGGATGGTGGTGACGGAAGACCGCTTGAACTTCTTCGCCTTGAGAACGAAGCTTTTGGGACCCAGTGGTTCAAAGCACGTCAGAGGCTTGCGGAGGTGCACAAACTGCTCCAGTACTACCAGAAGCCGGATATTGAAGAAAAGAAGAAGTGGCTGTCGGAACAAAAGCTTAAGCATGCTTGCCATGCTCGCGGGCAGTATGGATGTTCGACGAAACTGCAGCAGGTGTTGGCGAGCTCAACTGGGCGGAGGCGGAAGATGGAGCCAAATGGATCCAAATGGGCTCTTTTGCTGTCGGGATCTCGAGCCTCAGTACAACACATGTCGGGGGGCACTGTGAGCATTGGTTTTCACGACATTTGCTGGTCGTTGAAAGAGCTGACATTTAAGGTCCGATGGAAGGCCCCGAAGGTCGCTGGCATCGAATCGGAACTGAGTCCGTGGCTTGTCGGTTCGGGGACGGTGAGGTGCTACAGAGTCGCTAGCGCATCGAGTTTTTGGTCACGTTTGCGGGCAAGGCAGTGGTCTATGGCTGTAGCGTGGTGGAGGGGATTTGCCCTCCTTTTCTGGGTAATAAGGCTGCACTCAGGTGGGGGCGGTGATCGATTGCCAGCACCGTCTCGTCCAGGAGTTTGCAAGGGGGCGACGACGTGGGGGTCGTAGAGATGATGCACGGCCAGGTCACCGGTGCCGACAAGGAGTCTGAGCTGTCACCCGAAGATCGAAAGCTGTGGGCCAGCTGAACTGGGCTGCCAGACAGGGCAGGTATGACCTGCCGTTTGCAACGCCACTGGTGCAGCAGCTGGCGAGTCAAGGCCGAGCCGCAGGCTTGTACGGGTGACCGCGGCTGTGCGTCGCGGCGCGGCCGAGATGGCTTTGACAGTGTGATCCGAAAGTTCCTGTGCAGCTGATAGCCATTGAAGTTGGCGTTCTGCGAGAGGGCCTTCTGGAGAGTCATGCCCACTTCATCCGGTGGGTGCCTGGGTCAGAGATGCTGCGTGATGGGATAACCAGGTCCTTCCTTGAGTGATGCGGCTCGGCCAACGGTCACTAAAAAAACTGGACACACGCCTCAAGCCCAAAAACTCGCGCGCGGCTTGGCGCAAAAAGGCCTAGAGATCGCCCCAGTGGAGGTGGCCAATCTCTGCCGTAGCCGATTGACGGCTTTGTGCACTGAGTGTGAAAAGTGTCCCGCTGAAAGGCTTGTGTTTTCCGGTGCTGCCATACATGTTCGATTATTATATATACAGCACCTTATACGTGGGCCCTGAGGCTTCACACACACCTCGAAACCGTTAGCCGCCAGCCGAAGCGACCTTTAGCGTGTGCCAGGGCATGCAACTCGATGCTTTTGCCGACCCCTTTGCAAGCTGCCGTTTGGCGACGAATGATAATTCTGTAGCAGCTTTTAAGTTTTAAGGCCTTTTACTGTGAGCCCAGTCTAAGACTTCCCCCGTCCAGGCCCCTTTTGGTTTTGATGATAAGCTTTCGAAGACCCGCGAGGGTGTACTGATTCTTTGCCGAACTTCGGAAGTTCAACCAGGGTTTGGTACTGTGGCGAGACCTTCGGGATCATTCATTGAGAGTCGGGAAAATTTGCGGTTTTTGGGCGGTGGTTGTCAAACGTTGATCCTTGTTGGAAGTCCTCAGACGACGGCCCACAAGCGCTGTGGAGTTTTCGGTGTCCAAAGAAGCAGTTCCAATGATGTCCTTGTCCTGACCTGACGGGCTCCACCTACATCCAACCGAACAGTACTTCCGCACGTCTTCGTGTAGGTAAAAACAGGCTTATGGCGTTGATTTGATTTGGGTGTGCTTGTGGTACGTCTTTGCAGGGACCGGACGCGAGGCTCCTAATGCGGCCGAGGTCGCGTATTCGATTTTTTGCCTAAGAATGCTGTTCCCCCGCAGCTAAACAGTCCTAAACTCCCAACTCTCTACCTTCAAACGAACCAGCATGTGAACCCTAAGACTTAAGCTACATCCAAAAGCAGTCCAAGGCTGGCAACGGATGACGACTCCCTTGAGCGAGGCTGGTCTCCCCTTAAATTCGACGCCTAACCCTATGCCGAAACCACAAGCCGCAGGATCTCTTGGGCCTGCTGTCCTCGAGACGGGGGAGCCTGTGCGGACGTATGAGCTGACATAACACTAGAAATTCCTTGCTAAGTGGTCCCAATGCAGACCGTTCACGGGGAATCGGTACGGGGATTACACAGGGTTATGGGTTCCCTAGAGGTTAGGATGGTTATGGATGGTTCTTGTTGGGTGAAGACCTTAAGCTGGTATCGTGATGATCGCTCGGGGTTCGAGGGTCCGGAGGCTTCGCGCGGGTTCCGCGAGGCTGGATTGCTGGTTTGCTAAGGCTGTCCTTAGAGGTTTCTGGACTGCTTAGGCGGCACAGAGAACGTTTGGGTCCGCCTTTGGAGCCTGCAGGCATTGAAGGTTCTTGACGTGAAGTGCTGAAATTGTACGTCGTGTACGTATCAAACGGCAGACATATGCTTACCCCGAGGCCTGCACACCCTGAAACCTTCCCTCCTTTACCGGGCAGGCATTCGACCCCGACTCTTCGACACCTAGGCCTAGGCCTAGACCCAGGCCTTCCCTTTGCACTACCCTGATCCAAGCTCTAGATGAAGTTTTACGTCGACGAAGACCTTTCATGGCAACAGGCTGTGCTGGACGCAGGTACAGTCAAGATCCGCTGCAGTGTTACAGTTATAATATGTAGCCCTCTACAATCCCCTGAAGCAAAGACGGCTTTGACTAGTGAGGTAGTACCGTAGATCGCCTACAAGGCCAAGTCCCAGACACCCCAAGTTCCGCAGTCCAGGAAGCAACGCCTCCGAGCGCTGCAGACCCAGAGCGGCGCCCACGCCGAGCTGGACATGTGGGTTCAGGGTTTTGGGCAGCGAAACAGCTTGGCAGTTTGTGCTTGAAGCCCTGAACACCCAGCTTCCCCGGGTACTGTAGTAGATTACTGGCCCGATAAGCTGTAGCCATCGTCTGGAAGCCCTTTTTGCATGTGACGAGTGCATAGACCGAAAAGAGAGAAGGACTTTCAATGGCGGGCGTTGCACCTTTGTGGCACACGCCATGCCATCCTGAATGCCCTGGCCCTCTTGGAGCTCATGGAAGGCCTTCGGACTGGGTCAGGGCGTGTGCTCGAACCTGCTAGCGTGTTACGCCATGTCAGGCTTTGTTTGCGGGTGGATGGGTTGCATGAGAGTCAAGGATGTAGAGTTCAGGTCCGGGGCGGCAGCTTGCCCCAACGAGCCGTCAGTACCAGTCCGAGACTGCCTTGATCCTTGGTATCCCCCACCGTCCCACAGCACGAGCTTCGGCTCCCAAACAGCCAACGAAGCTACTAAACTCCCTCCCATTGGCCGATCCTAGGCTACTCAAACCCTTGAGCCCACCACCTCTCCAAAGGAGAAGGCTGTCAACAACTGCTACTCTAAACCCCCGCTGTCCTCGCTGCCCTCCCCAGGCTTCACCGTGAAGTTGCCCTGCGCGCTGTGGACGGAACTCCTTCGATGCAGGAACCTGGGGGCCGGCACCTTAACTTCTTCTTGTCCTTCAATATACGTACTGCTGTTTAGGGCATAGCTTAGGGCCTTTTGTTTTCCGAAAACCTGAAATACGGGCTTCAGGGTTTCGTTTGTTCTCGATTGGTTTGCGCCTAAGGGCGAAAAGGGGCTTGGCCTTCACGGCTAGGACCGCAGAGGGCTGGGGGACTTCGGGCAAAGAGGCATTTCATGAGGGTCTATAATAGGGATTAATGTTGGAAGGTTTTTGGTGCTACAGGCGTAAAGGTTCCGCGATGCGGGGTTCATGCAGTGCCGCAGTTTAGCCGCTGCACGCTCCTGTTTCGCGATATTTTGGTGGTCATAGGGCTTTGGGGACTAGAGGATGTGAGGCAGGAAGTTAGAGCGGCTCGGGTCTGTGGGTTTTCTCTGTGTTTTGGTAGGTTCGAGACACGTGGTTTTGAAGCTTGCCGGCTTGCAACAGGCCGTGACGTCTAGACCCTGCCAGCACGAATCAAAACGTAAATCACCAAACCACCGCCGACATCATTGGCATCTCGAAGAGGTTGATGAAGCTCCGATGTCACTGGCGCGGATCCAGGACTGAACTCGCGGCCAGGGCGGACTTCTCCCAAGGATGTGACATGCAAGCACGGTGAGCCATCGTGCGCCTGACAAACCTGTCCACGGTACAGTACGATCAGTGCCATCGTCACACAAGCCCTGCAGTCACACCAAGTCAAACCTGCAGTGATGTCGATGGTGCCAACACGGTCATCGCCGTAGCAGTCACTGCAACCATGCCGTTGGCGTGTAATTGCATATCTCCATACATATATATATATATACACGCATATGATCATCTTCTCCCTAGCATCCTCGACATAACTGGCCGTGAAATACTTTCCTGGCCAGCCACCGGCCAACCACCGCAAGATATTGTGAAGACATACAGCTTTGCCTTTGCAATACCTCATGAAAGCTAGTAGCAGCAACCCCTTTTTTTTGACAAGTTGCCGTCAAATCAGCAGCTCAAAGTTCGACTCCCAACTTCGCAAAGCAAGCATCTCGGGTGCGAGCTCCCGTAACCGGTAGCACCACTGGAGGGCTTGTCGTTTGGAGTTTCGGGGTTAGGGTCTATGGGGCAAGGTTTTTGGAATCTTGGGCTCCGGGCTTCGGGATCTATAGGCCCCAAGACTTGGAGACTCAGAACCCGAAGGAAATTCTGGGCCGTCGTGTGCACGTGGAACGCGAGACCTTTGCCCCTTGTCCTGGGGCTAAGGCTTCTACAGCAGGGTCTCTTTTTGTGGCAACAAGTTCTTGCGAACTATGATGTGCAGGTCATCCTCTCGAAGAGTATAGGACCGAAGACAGATAATAAGATCCTGAACTCGGAGATTATTTTCGGAACTGTGCTGCTGGGTTGAGGATGCAATCGAACGAAACGGGCTTTGGATTCAAGTTTGCCGAGGTTGACTTGCAGCTTGGTTTCGATCACGGCTTTAGCGATGATTTGTTTATAGATGATTTAGGGGTACCAAATGTGCCTGTGCCTCAGGGCATCCTTCGTCCACATCCGCAGAGTTTAGGATGGGCAGTTTGGCTGGCAGTCAGGTTGTCATGTGGCTCTTGGGATGCTGAGGTTCACGAAAGGACATTAGGCAGAGGATCAACACCTAGAATAGTTCTTGCTAAGGGGGTGGGCCTTGGATTGGAGTCCCTGCACCCCTAACCCTCATCCCTGCACCCTGTACCCTAATTCTCAACAGACCGAAGTGTTCCACGGAACACGGAAGGCGCTTCGTGTCTTCGCCCCCTTGGCCGAAAGGGCAGCGACTGCTGAGACTGTGCAGGCGTTCTCTGGCAGCAGCTGGGTTTCGGGCTGCTTTCGTCAAAACCTGGGGGCTGCAAGTGTACCAGTTGTACCTGCCTTGTATTTCATTATTGCAGCCTCAGGGATAGGTTCTTTGCTGGGACTAATCCTTCGGGTCAGGAGTGTTGGAATTACGACAACTCCAGACGAGGGCGCATGCCTGACAAGAGCTTAGAGCTTAGAGGCTTTGGGGTTCAGGGTCTCCTGGCTTCGGAGTTTGAGTGCCACGGGGAGTTGATTGCTGGGTTTTGTGGAGTTTCATGGGCATTTTCAGTGGGTGGGTTTTGGGCTGCTTAGCGAGTGGCAGATCTTCAGACTCAGCATTCGGTAGGCTTGACGGTTGTGATGATATGCGGCTGGTTTTTGCGATAGGACGTCGGGCTGTTCGTTCGGTGGGATCCAAGTTTCTTTGTCTTGAGGGTTCAATAACCGAGGGTGTATGGATTCAGCAGGTCTTCCGAGAAACAGGAGAGGGATGCTTGGAATGAGGCTGTAGCCTACGATCTTCCAACATTTTCCAACAAAGGCAGTATGATACACTGTAATACAGTATAACTCACTATATGTTAAGTAATATAATGTGGGTTAGTAACTGTAATAAACAAAGCGCCTCTTCCAAGGCTTGCGTCTCTGTGCACGAAGCAAACGATCGAACTGCCAGCTGACTGCGCCTCTCGGACTTGATGGTGCGTCGGTTTGCAGTGTACGACTCCTGACTTGGTGCGCCTTTGTTCCATACCCGTACAGTATACAAGTCATTTTTGGTTCTCAGTATAGAAGCCTTGGGTTTCAGGGGTGGTGTTTGGGCTTTGGCACCCTCTTCTTTCAAGCTTCGGATGTTTTAGTACGGGCCTCGTATCTCTTTCAAAGATTTAGCCTCGACAACTTTCGCATGGAGCCGATAGACGCTGAAATCTATCCATTAGCCTGGATGTCTTTCTTTTAACCTCAGCTGATTTTTGTCTAGAGGCCATGTGTCTTGCAGCCTCGTGTGTCTCTTTTTTAACATCGAACGAATCTTCCGAAAGTGGTGGATTCCTTGATGGTGGGCCCAGTTCTGCGTTTGCAAACAACCAACAAGATCTAGGGGGCCCTGGGGCTTTTTAACTCGCTACCCGGGCTTGGCACTCCCGCTTCTTACTTTCCCAGCACTTCTCTGCAGCGGTTTACATGCCACGCCTCGTTGACAGGCCTGGCTGTCTAACCCCTTCTTGTTTTTCTCTCCTCCCCTTGTCTTTCTGATCCCCACCCATGAGCCGGGCGGGCCCGACATCCTGCCCCTTTGAACGCATCCGCAAGTGCTTATTTTCGGACGCCTGCCCCAGTTTTTGAAGCTCAGGCATGTCTTGTCAACCTTAGCCATAGTACAATAGTACAATCTGCGACGCAGGCGAACCCCGAGCCCGCTCACGTGAATACAGAGGTACATGTACTGTACGTAGTCTTTTCCGCGTAGTGGCATGGGATATCGATCTGGTGTTGGCTTGAGCGGCCCAGCTGCGGCCCCCCGAGGTTTTGCACCGGGTTTCTGAAATCAGAGTTTTCAATTTCGGGTGGTGGGCTCTTAGCCTAGAGTCTAGAGCTTCAAATTCAGGGTCAAGGGTCGTTCTGAATTGGGGCCAAGTTGAGGGTAAGTACTTGAGTGCACAAGAGTCTACGGAAGCATGACGACAATGAAGCCGGTATTCCAAGCTCCGCCAGGGCTTCTAAGCCAAGCCTAAAGCCCAACCTTAAAGTCTTTTGCCCTAACTGTTTGCTCTCAACTCAGGATTGGAATATCATCAAGGAGCTGCAGACATCGGAGAAAGTCACGATGAAGGCGCCCAGCGATCAAAACAGCAACCATACGCACGAGCCGTGGAGTGAGTGTGTGTGTGTGTGCGCGTGTGTGCGTACATGTATGTGGAGACTCTGCGGGGAAACATTGCATCGGCAAGACGGTGATCATTTCAGCCAGCAGTGTTCTCAATCGCTACATTGACCTGAGTCTGCTCTGCTCACAGCAGCATGTCTCTCAGAACTGGTGTGCCCTTCTGGTAGATCTCATACAGGGGCTGAGGACTTCCCACATCCCTCCCTGATTACCTGGCTAATGGCAAGAAGTCGGGCATGTCCCTGTGTGTCATAGCCTTCAAGACCCAGTCAAGGAGGATTTGGAGTGCAGGCTCTGGGCACAAGGGTTTGAATTTAGTTTGAATGGCGTCTGATTACGAGGGCTAGGCGCTAATCTGCATGCGAGCCACGTTCAGGCGTAAAGCAATGGTGGAACAGGACAGCGATCCGGATGTCGTGCATACTAACCATGAGAAGCGGTCAGTCAAAAATCACCCAGCGATCCGAAGCTAATTTTTAACGCCAAAATAGGTAAACAGCACAAATCCTAAAACCCCAAACCCGAAAAAGAAAGGATTCCTTTCATTCCAAAGTCTTGCATAGCCCTCATTATTCTGTAGCCGCGAAGGTGGAAGGGAACCGGGTGGAGTTGATTGGCATCGTGGCGGCCGTGGAGCAGGCGACAAAGGCCAGGTCCTGGTCAGATTTAGAGAGCTTGGGGTGTCGGGCTTCCGGTGTGAGGCTTGGACCGTCTTTGGGTTGTTTTGGGGTTATGGGGCTTTGGAGACTTGGGGCCTTAGGGTTTAGGGCTGAGGGCTCCTCTTCAGACCTTGGGCATGGCACCAGCGACCCTGTCTCACTTCAAGTCCCACACTCCGAAGTAGATTCTGCAGCCGCTGAACGTCGTTCTTGATCTGCTAAGCCTGCCGTCCGACATGAATCCCTAGTGCGACTCGGTGAATCGTCGCTAAACAGTGTGCGGAAGCTCCAAAGGTCTTGGAGTTGGTCCAGGCGGCTTCAATTCCACTCAACCAAGAAAGCTTAGATTCGGCGATAAGGAATGCTCCAATTGTCTCTTGCCTCCACCAGCAAGATTGCGTGGTTGTCGCTGCTAGATTCTGCTGATGAGACCCAGGGTACAATTGTCGAACAGAGGCAGCGCACTGCTTGCGCAACAGGATGAAGCGCTGTGCCTCAGCGGTCTGGTTCTTTCTTCTGCATGCAGAAGGTTTTGCAGAAGCTGTGTTGCAGTCGGCATCTGCCGGCAAGACCGTGGATTCACAGGAAATCCAGGCATTCAGCGGTGCATAGTGGTGCCCTGGGCGAGAAGGCTTGTCAAGGTACTTACCCGAAGGCTCACATGCATGCCGAGAACCAAATCGAACGCACGCCAACGCCGGGAATTCCTTGTAGGAACCCCTGTAGATAAGTCTCGTATATAGAGTCACAGGGTGGTTGAGGGCTCAGGCGTTTCGTGCTCCCAGGATGTAATCTAGCCGGTATTTAAATTTAAAGAGCTTCTGAAATGCGGAGGATCTGAAGAAGCGACTTGGCTCCGTTGCCGCGGAGACAACGGAAGAGGCACCTATGATGGACGGTGCGAAGGGCGTTTGCTTTGAATTTCAAGCACAGATCTTGTCAGGGTGGTCGCCAAGGTTCAACCACGCTGCACTTCGCTTCGGCATAGGGTGTTCAGCATGTCAGTTAGCGTGCGTTTAGTAACAGTAGCCAACTGCAGCTTCGGGACCTGCCAGGGCTCAAAGGCCTGTACTTTGATCCTTATCCCTCAGGCGTAGCCTGAGCACTGAACGCCCAGCCCTGAACTCTATGCCGATCACCTGACCTTACACTGACTGCAATCTTGACGATTGAACCGTAAGTGGATCTCTCAGACCTCATTCCGTACAGTTCCAGAAGCCTTTGGGGCTTGCCCCTGAACATCTGAAGCTGAAACCCTACACCCTGGAAACCTTCAACTTCACACAAGTCTGAACACTCAACTGCCGCCCCAAAAGCCTTCGATTCCACTATCCGCAGGGTTGTATCCCATAAAATGCCATAAAATACTGACTTAGGCAGCCGGGCTTGTATGGAGAATTGGAAATTGCTAGCGGCACGAAGCTGCAATCGATAGCTTGGCTCCTTGAGGAATGTTGGGTGTCAGGGACTACATTTGGATTTGAGGAGATTTGGTTTAAGATGTAGGGGAAGACTTGGTATTGGGAGTTCCGAGTGTAGAAAGTAGGGTCTACCGAAAACACACCGTCACGCCTCGACTTTTATGCAAACCCTGAAAGCCTGAACCCTGCACCCTGTCTCAAGCGCCACGTTGGAATGCATCTCGAATCCTGAGCCTTGTGAGTTGCAGAAGAGCAAGGCGATTAGGAGCACATCCCAATGACGGGATCGTTAAGTATAGGGACCCGCAAAAATCTATCCCCTTCGCTCCATGCAGCTTTGCCTTTGAGGCACAGCCGACACTGCTCGGAGCTGCACTGAACAAGCCCAAGGCCGGCTTGCTTCACTTGCCGTGTTCAGGATGTCACGGCTCGAGGGTTTCACGTCAGTGGCATAGGGAGTTCAGCGATTCATGCTTACTTTGGTTGGGCAGTGTCGTCCATAAGGCGGCGTTTCTGTGCAGCTGTACATGACTGACTACATTACCTCGTCATTCGAAATGCTTCGACACAGAGGTCCACCAGCAGTACTACAATCGAACGAATCAGCATCATCATCGTCATTGTCGTCAACAAACACCACCACCACCACCACCACCACCACCACGACGACCACGACCACGACCACGACCACGACCACGACCACGACCACGACAACAACAACAACAACCGCAACAGCAACAGCACATATCAACGAGGGAGTGGTCAAGTCTGCTGCCGTTGCAAGATTGTTTCATATCTGTTTGCAGCAACCTCGAGTTTTTGCAGTTTTCGTTTCGAGTAGGATGTGTTGCAGGTTTTCTGTTCATGCCATTGTTCCGTTTGTTACTGGTGTGTTTCGCATAAGTATCGCTGATACCGTGGCCAACGTCGTTTCTGTTGCTTGATTTTTGCGTGTGTACCTGTTTTGCAGGGGGCCCATCATCATCACGATCATGGTCGCCATCATCATCACCATCATCATCATCACCACCTCAACAAGCAAGCAACAAAACAACAGCAACAACAACAACAACAACAACAACAACAACAGCAACAAACAACAGCAACAAACAACA